CGCCCGGGGCCGACGCTCCCCGCAAGCTCCGCGCCATGTGCCCGGGGCCAGGCCAGCCCCGAGCACCTGGCGGGCGCATGCAAATGTTGGGGACCACGGGTCTAAGAGTTTCACCCAGTCTCTCTCTCACATTAAGAGGAGAACAGACTATATATGTATTTCTCTTGAATCTCCCCAGTCTTTGTAAACAACTTCGGCTCAGACTTCAGCTGTGTGTCCTGAGCTTATACTTGATGCAAGTGAGAGCAGTGAAGGGATGGGAGAAGGCAGCTTGCTGTAAGTCTTATTTTTGCTCCCCCAATCCAGAGTTTCACCCAGTCTCTCTCTCACATTAAGAGGAGAACAGACTATATATGTATTTCTCTTGAATCTCCCCAGTCTTTGTAAACAACTTCGGCTCAGACTTCAGCTGTGTGTCCTGAGCTTATACTTGATGCAAGTGAGAGCAGTGAAGGGATGGGAGAAGGCAGCTTGCTGTAAGTCTTATTTTTGCTCCCCCAATCCTGACCCAGTGGAAGGCCAAAATGGCCTTGGATCTGACACTAAGCTGTAGTGTTTCCACCAGGTATTTTGTCACCCAGAGCAGAAAATGTTTTTGACTCTATCCATCCACTCATTCAGAAGAACAAGCAAAGAAGCCTCAAAAAATAATGGCAGATCTGGCAGCCCTGAATATGATAATTTGATGCCAGCCATGTTATGCAAGCCAGGAATGTTATGGGTTGGAAGGGACAGGTAACATGAAGCCAGTTACACTGGCTTTGCACCAGCTTGGGATTCCCCTCTGTTGAGGGGAAAGCTGTCTCCCCATTTAGGACAGCTTTCCAGCTGGTATGTGCTGCTTCACAATAATAGGAGTGGAGGATCTGGCTCCAGTATTTTATCCTTTTTGTGGCTATTTTTTTAAAATATCCCTTTCTTCAGTCACTAATGTCAGCTCTTCCTCTGTCTTGTGTGCCTAATTATATTAGAGAGAGAGAGAGAAAAAAAACCTGAAGCAGAAAGAAACGAAGAGTATGTCTACACTACCCCGCTAGTTCGAACTAGCGGGGGGAATGTAGTCATCCGCAGTTGCAAATGAAGCCCGGGAAATTCAAATCCCGGGCTTCATTTGCAACTGCGGATGACTACATTCCCCCCGCTAGTTCGAACTAGCGGGGGGAATGTAGTCATCCGCAGTTGCAAATGAAGCCCGGGAAATTCAAATCCCGGGCTTCATTTGCAACTGCGGATGACTACATTCCCCCCGCTAGTTCGAACTAGCGGGGGGAATGTAGTCATCCGCAGTTGCAAATGAAGCCCGGGAAATTCAAATCCCGGGCTTCATTTGCAACTGCGGATGACTACATTCCCCCCGCTAGTTCGAACTAGCGGGGTAGTATAGACATACCCTAAATGATCTGCAGTCTTTGTAAAAATCCTTTCCCAGGAGCAATTTCCCTTTGTCCAGGTTTTCTTTTGTCTTTTCCTGTTATGTTATCTGTCTGTTTTAGATTAAAAACTCCTTAGGGCATGATCAATAGGATCAATTTATAGAGGCATCTTATTCTGTAAAGTGTCATGTGCACCTGTGTAGCTAGCTATATAGCAACAGATATCATAGCTGAGAAAATCTACTTGAGTTACAAATACAAAGTGCAAATATATTTCACTTCTGACCCACTGAAATAAATACTTCGCAACAATTCTTCCTCCACTGTTTGAAAATTAAAAATACACTAAAGGAGAGAAACATCTGAGTGTTTCTGTCATCTGAGTGCCACTAGACTGCACGGTTATGTCTAGACTGGCATGATTTTCTGGAAATGCCTTAGAAATAGTGCCTACAAAATGTGTCTCCACAAGGTGAAAACACTTTTCACAAAACTTGTTCAACTCCCATGTTGAAATCAGAGGGATTGCTGATATGCTGCTGTGCCTGGGGTCCCAAAGA